CGACCTATCTATTTGGTGTTTTGTATCAGCCATGTGCTCAGCGAGCTCAGATTTTTGGACCCATAGACATTTACAAGCGGATTTGTGTTCGCATAGTCTCCTCTGAATAGATCGGCAGGTCTCACTAACATAGACCTTGAGCACAAAAAATTGTAGCAGCCTGATGTAGAAAGTGGGCCTGAAATTCCTCTAAACGATGGAACTACTGAAGAAAGTGCTAATTTGTCTTTATAAGTTATTTTATTCAAATTCCTCAGTAGATCACACAATTTTCTCGTATGCTGACAGGAAGGGAAAATCAGGAAACGAATAAAATGGTCTAATTGTCTATCCCGCCCCAGATACAAAATCGCCTCATCTTGTTAACGACAAGTGATATATAATTGTTTACTAATCCTAATGGGTTATTGTTTTGAAGTAGTATATGTCTCAATATATCCATTTGGTCCCTCTGGTTTGAGACCATTCAATCTCGTATCCAGAACAGCCGTTACTTTTGAGCAATCACTGCTGGTTTCGTGCATAGACGAACATATAAAGGCACATACATTTACAGAGACAGACACACTCACAACCTTCGAGGTTGACATATGACTGCAACTAACCAAATCACTTTATACCTGATCAAAGAGGCCAGATATAAAGTATATATATACCGCCTTTTAGGGATTTGCTGGTGAGTTTTCTTGACTCGTAAGCTTGAATTTGGTTGTGAAGCTGATTCCTTGCTCTGATGATGTTTGTCATATGACGGACGAAACTTACCACCTTTTCGCCGGAATCGAAGGAGATTAGCTCGGAAACAGCGTCAGCATGAATGTTCCAGTAAAGTCAATCGACAGCTGGTCAAGAGGAATACGCCGTCGTCTTCTGGTGGAATCGACCTTCGAGTGCCTTCACAAAACACTCACTCAAAATGGAAGCAAGCTCAATAATTATGAAGCCAGAGATTTTTAGAAACCCAACTTTTCTTTTAGCTCAAGGAATTCACCCAAACTGATGATATGAAGACCAGGATGTTTTGACCTCTGGTATAGTCGCAGTCTCCTTTCGATTTATAGAAGTAGTTTGACCTCGTTGTCGCAACTTGGTCTTGTTGTCAGAGCGACTTAGTAGAACGCACCTAGTCTGAAGTCGTCTGCCATAGTAGTTGTCATGAGTCCCAGCTTCAGAAAGTGAACTTGGTACATTATCAAACGTTTCGCCGGCATCGTAGTCGGTATCATCAGTGAGCCTTGCCATTCTCCGCACTAAGTTACGAACGTTTGCCGAGGGATTGACTTCACTTGTCTCTTTGACGAGTTTGTAGCTTGGTGTAGAGAATGGCAA